GGGGCTGCTCTGTGCATCACACAGCTGTTGGTGGTTCTGCAATGCCCGTGGCCACAGATGAGCATCTCTGCATCCCACAGGAAGCAAACACCCAGCACGTTGTGCCCAGTGCCTGATGAGGGCTGGGAACACAGCCCTGGTGGGACCCTGCTGCTCCAAATGAGCACATTGAGTACGCTGTCATCTGAAAGCTCCTCAGACCACTCAAGGCAGGGGAAAACCAGAACATGTCACAGGGGATCTGGGAGATAAGAGGGAAGAGAGGCAAGGGGTGATTCAGCATGCCAAATCAGCCCACCACAGAGTGAGAGGGGATGCAGGACACTCAACACCTTGGAAACCAGGTCAGCCTCTTCCAAACACATTTCACAGTGAAATACAGGAGGTAGCTATTACTGAGGTGCAAATGTGATAAGTCATGAGCTCTGGGCTTGCAGCATCTGAGAAATGTCAGGCTTGGGGAAGCACACACAATCCCAGAGAGAAGTGATGGCTCTGGTGGGATGAGGACTTGTCACCTCATGGGAGCAAACAGCCTGCTGGCTCAGGGCACCTCACTGGGATGGCTGGGATGGCTGTGAACAGGCAGGAGGGTGTCACTGTTTGTCCCCCTTTCTGGTTCTCATTTCTGCTATAAAAGACTATTTCCAAGGCCGTGTGAACTGTGTGTGAACAGGAAAAGTTCAGCTGACTTTTGCCAAGGAGTTGGAGCTAATGTGTTATTGGTAACCTCTACATTTGAGCCAAGTCTGTGCTGCTGCCAGCCCTGTCAGAAGGGCTACATCCTTCTACTTCAGTCAGAAAAGCCCCCACAACCTTACAAACCAAAGACCCTGTTTGGGAAATTAAAGTACTCTTCTGAAATATAGCAACCTACAAACAAAGCCAGCCATGGGTGGGATGAGCAATGACCAGCAGGGTTTTGGTCCCCGTAACAAGCTTGGGCAGAGTTTCCTGCTGCTACTTTGCACCTTTGAGCAGTGTCACTCACTGGAATATCATGGGTCTGTGCTGCCAGGGATCTGCAGCAGAGGCTGCAAGCTGGGCAAGAGCCCCAGGTCAGTGATGTTTTCTGTGCTGCAGGGAAAGCTGTGCCAATCCTACAGACAGTGCGAGGGAAGACAAGGAGGGTTGGCCCCTGGGTGACTCTGTGGTGACTTGGTGTGAACCAGGGGAAGGACAACTAAAGCCCATAGGAGCACCTCAAGACTGATTCAGCAGCACAGCATTTACACCATGCAGAAGGGACACACTGTGAGCCATACAATGATCTCTGTTAAGATCCCCATGTGCAGCAATGGGGACCAGGGTGTTGAGGAAGCATTAAAAAAAGCCAGTAAAGGGGGAAAAAAGTTGTTTTCAGCCAGATCAGGTCCCTGTATGGTTTATCAGGTGGCTCTGCCAGTAGGTGCATTGATTAGGAGGGATATGGAAAGGACAACAAACACAGAGGGGGATGAATGAATGAAGCAGGCACTGAAAGGAATGCTTGGGAAGCAACCTGAAGGGAGCAGGGAGAGTGGGCACATGAGATTTGGGGAATGAAGTCAGAGCTGAACCAAGCAGTGCGGTCATGCCATGAAAACCATTATTTTCTGCTCTTCAGCAATGCCTCTGCTGAAGGCCAGTGGAGCAAGACACACTCCAAGAAACCTCAGTATTGTTAAACATAGCTCAGGACTGAGCTGCAGCTTGAACTGTGATAAATGACTGCCTGCTTTGGTTTATGTCTGAAGCTGCCTGGGCTGAGAGAAGGAGGTAAATCTGTCCACCAGCAGAGGTGTGGTCCCTGCAGTGGTGGTGGAGCACAGGGACACACAACTGCAGCCTCACAGCTGCTGGCAGAGACTTCCAACATCCCCTCCCATCTGCTGAGGGCAATGGCAAGGCTGGCACTGCCTTTTGAAAAGAAATTCCTTTGCTGCAGCAAAAGGCACAGCAAGAAGCAGCTGGCCAGGAGATACCATGCTGTTCTGTTCAATCCCAGAGGACCAAGGGGGGTCTTGCTGGATCAGACACCCTCTGAAGTGCTGTGCCAAAAGCACAGAAAACATTGTTTGGGGATGAAGGCAGCAGTGGCTCTCTCTTGGGCAAACACAGGAACAATGAATCAATGATATGCTTGTACAAGTTGTGGCCAACAGCAGCACAGCAGGCAGCAGCCTGCTGCTCTGAGGCCTCTCAAAGCCTCCCCTGGCCTTGCAAGAGGTCATGGCACACAAGCAGGTCCCTGCCAGCTCCCAAATGGCAGAGACAGCACTGCCATAACTGCAACATCATCACACCTTCATTTCTTTAGGTGGAAAACACATCCTGTTTCCTCCCTGCACCCCAGGTCACAGCGGCCCCTTTGGTGTCTGGTTCCCTTCCCCTGAGGATGAGCAGGAAGCTCCAGAGGACAGCATCTGAGCAGCTCAGTAGGCAGCCAGCTCCAAGCCCCAGGAGCTCCTCTGTCTGATGAAATCATCTCACGGTGTGAAGATCCTTGCAGATGAAATTGAAAAGTTATTTATTTCTCCTCTAAAGGGGAATATCATCTCACTGTGGAGGCTGTTTGTCCTTTGGGGCAGAATCTCACTTTTGCCAGTTTCTGTGTTTCTGTGTGCTGGCTGGGAGCAGTGAGATGTTCTGGCAGGCAGGATGGAGCAGAGCTGGTGCTCTGCTGCCCACAGCCTCCCTGTGCCAGAGCAGGTACAATGAGGAGCACAGCCCAGCACTCCTCTCTCCATGGGACATGGGGATCACAGCAGTGTTGCTAACATCTCTTGCTCCACTGCAGCCAGTCAGCAATGCAATGGCTGATTCTCCACCCTCACCCCCTGAGGCATTGAACTGCCTTCATAGGAACCACGGCTGAGGTGTCCTGCATGCTCCTTGGCGGCTCCAGGGATAGCAGTCCTCTTCACCCAAAGGGATTGTGAAGAGCTGGTATCTGCCCCCACGTGCTCCAAAGGAATGTCATGGTGTACAATGTCCTTCCCTCTCCCAGGAGTCCTCATGTTCTCTGCAAGGGTGCTGGTAGGCTCTGCTGGGCTCTGCAGAGCCCCTCGAAAAGGGTTTTTTTCATGGGAATGCTCATCCTGCTCACTCCAGCAGGAAGATGAGACCAACTTAAAATCACACAATGCATGGGTTTACCACTATTTTCAGTTTTTTACTGCCCTTTCACTTATCAGGGTGGACTATTTCCAAGCATGGCCTAGTTTTGCTCCCAGTGCCATCTGCAAGTGGCACTCCACTGCTTAGGCCCAGTGCTCAGTGCCTTGCAGTATCCCACCCCAACAGGACATTGGAAAGCTTTCTGTGAATATTAAACCTACTACTCAGCAGGTGAGAGTTGAAGAAAGTGTCCAGTGCCAGTCTTTTCTCCATGCCAGCAGAATTGCTTTCCCAATCCTCACACATTTGGAAACCTCACCTGGCAGAGGTGTGACTTAGACCAAGCTGATACAGCACAAGATGATTTTTCAAGCTCTGGGAAACTAGGAATATAGGAACTACTGCAGGAAATCCTTGTGGCTGGTGCACACAAATTTCTATTTCACTTGGATTTTACCAAAAATCTTGCTCAGATCCTGTGCTAAGCAGGACTGCTTGCTTTGGCGCGGGTAGGGGACGGGTCCTGCTTCAGGGCTGGGCCTCTCATTTAAAAGAATAATAAAAACCAGCATTCACTAGAAACAATACACCTGTTCAGAAAAGTGGGTGATTTTGCATTGCTGTCAGGCCTCAAACCCTGAGGGAACAGCTCATGCCAGGGCCAGCAGCACCAGCGTGCCGATGGGGCCGAGTTTCCACTAGAGGGTTGTAGTGCTGTAAGGAAGCAGACGTGGTTACTGTGGCAGAAATATTGCAATGCATTCCAGGCCTTTGTCAGCAGATCAAAATCAACCTGCCATACCCCGGCTTCCAGCAGGCTCTGCAGTCTCTGATGTGCACAGCCAGCAAGCTGGGAGAGGGCTGCTGCCTGAGCAGCCTGCTTCCCTGCCTTCCCTGAACAGCCTCAGCACCTACAGCAGGGCTGGAGACATAGATAGATAGATAGATAGATAGATAGATAGATAGATAGATAGATAATAGAGAGAGAGATGGTAAGAAAACACCCTGTGCCTATGCATTTGCACTGATGGACAGAATGTTTGTGCATCTGGGATTCTGATGCACGAACAGCCATGAGGTGTGGCAGTGGCACGCCGTGGCAGCGAGTCAGGCACCACTGGTGAAGCAAAGCCCACAGTCTGGCAACACAGTGAGTGGGACAACTAGCAGCCTCAGCACAATGAGAGAATCACGGCATCATTCAGGTTGGAGAAGTCTCAGAAGGTCTTTGAGTCCAACTGTTATCCCAGGACTGTCAAGTCCAACACTAAACCTTGTCCCTCAATGCCACATCTACAGAGCTTTTAAATACCTCCAAGGATAATGACTCCATCACTTCCCTGGGCAGCCTGTTCCAGTGCCTGACCACCCTCTCAGTAAAGAAATTTCACCAAATATCCAATCTAAATCTCCTCTGGTGGAACTTGGGGCTATTCCCTCTTGTCCTATTGCTTGGCTGTTTGGGAGACCTTTTGGGTAGCTGTAGAGAGCAATAAGATCTCCAATGCCACATCAGTGCTGACTACATGGGGTTGATAATTTCCCTGGTTCTGCTGGCCACACTGCTGCTGATCAGCAGAACTGGGAAGCGTTAGCTCTTCACATACAGCTGTGGCTCCAAGTGAGGAGCTGCCATGCTGTGCATTGCACCAAACACATGTGCTGGTCCCTGGAGTTTTCAAGCCAGCCTTAAGCAGGAGCCATCAGAGGGGTCTGCCACTTCTGCCACCAACCACATCCCCAAGTCCAGTGCAGCTCAGTAGGTCCTCGCAGGTTCTTGTGTATGTGACCCCAGCATGCATGTTTACAGTGGTGTTTGTATTTTTGCATGTTTATCTGTAGAATCATAAAATCATAGACTGGTTTGGGATGGAAAGGACCTTTAAAGGTCATCTAGTCCAAACTCCTTGCAAAGAGCCTGTGTGTGCAGCTTTCTGAGTAGATGGTGTGCTAAGTGCTGACAACTGTACCAACAAGATCAGGGTAGTTTTGATGCTGAAAACAAAACTTGGAGCTAAGACTCTGAGAGAAGCCCAAATATCACTGACATTGCCTTCCTTTCACAGAAAGAGTGGGAAAGCAAATGCAACCACAAGGCCTGCCTGTAATATGGAAAATACACCATGATATTCACCAAGAATTTACATAGTGATCAATTTATGTTGCCCCTGTTTGTCTGATACTGTCACTATTTCCATTTACAAATAGATGGAAAATGGATTTTGCCTACATTTAAATATCTTTCATTATCAGAAAGGTTTTGAGGAAGCAAGTAGGAGACGTTCTTGTGAAATAAAACATTGCAGCAAAAGATGGGCTTTGGTTCCTCTGATCTGATCATACCTAAGTACAACTATGTAAAAACCAACCATCAAGTTGACAAAGAATCACAGAATATCTTGAGTAGGAAGGGATCCACAAGGACCATCAAGTTTGGTCCACAGAGTGCTATGATAGCTTATCTGACCCAAAATAGGCGCCTGAATATTCTTCCCTTTATAGCTGGCTGGTGGAGAGTCACTTCTCATGCTAACAGGGGAAAGTAGGACTTCAAGTGAGCTGTTTCTTGATATAGAGGACAAAAAAGCCCTAGGGGAGACTCAGACATCTGAGGAGACCTGCAAGGTGGACACACAGAATTGGGAGAGTCACCTCCCACAAGTGATGGGTTCCATTAACAAGTCCCAGACCTCAGAGAGACCAGACAGGCTGGAGAGCAGGGACTGGTGCTGGTGAATCTTCTCCGGCTCTGAACATGCTAAAGGTGGTGGCAGCATGAGCCCGTGCTGATCCCAGCAATGCAGAATAGCTCTGTAGCTCCAGAGCCCTGGGGTTACCCCGCTCCTCCTGGAGTGCTGCCATCCCTTGAGGGGTTGACACCATGGGGCTAAAGGGTAGTGTGTCTCCAGCACACATAGGCAGCTGGCATCAGCTCTGAAGAGAGCTGTGGCAGAATAGCATGATGTGAGGAGTATTTGGAATGTGTCATGAGAAGGATGGGAGGAAGTGAACATGAGTGCCCTGCCTGGGAATAAGGTGTCTCGGCAGCCATAGGTTGGAAGGCTAGATTAAATAGTTTTAATTACCTATTCTAACCAGTGAGAACATTTATAATCATCATGCAATAAATGTGTCTGTTACTAATCTTTCACATCTAAGGTTCCTGTATAACACAAAAAAAAAAAAGGAAAAAAAAGAAAAAAAAAAGGAAAAAAAGAGAAAAGATGCCGAGGAGATCAACCATGCACAAGCACCTTTGCCCCATGAGACAGCACCAAAACCCCCCAGCCTGTTGTAGTACCAAGGCAGATGGCTTTCTGCACCTTCTTTTGTGAACAGCTGCACTCTCTCTTCTCACATAGCGAGGAGTCTCATTCCCTCCCGAAGGAGTCATAAAATACAGCTTTATCCATCCTGCATGCAGCAATCAGACAGGCTTAAGAGCTTAAGCACTCGGAGGGTAGCAATGTTTAAAAAGATTGCACAGACCTGTTTGCCTGCCTCGGTCTGCACCACTAATCAAAGCTCTGCTCAGCGCAGACCTGTGTGGCACACGGTCAGAGCTGGGAGCAGAGCACTGACCGTGCTCATAGAGGGGGACTTGTTCAGCTCGGTCCTCTCGGGGCAATCAGCAGCTCCACAAAGAGCCCAGTGCTCCTGCCCTGGCTCCACGCTCTGGCTGGATGCTGAGCCACAGAGCGCTGAGATCGCGCACTAGGCAAAGAAGACAGCAGCAGACACATTTCATTGCTTTAGACTGTTTTATTAAACAAAGCAAATCAAAACAAACCCAACCCCACTGGCGATACACCAGCTCCTCATTTACACACCACTCCTTTTCCCAGTTCTGGGAGAACAAAGAGGCTGAAGCGTGAATGAGATCAGCGTGGTGACTGTTACGCACATGAATATTTATTTATCAAGGAAGACCAGAAGGGGGCCAATTTGCCACCCTCCTGCACCAGCAAGAGTTTGGTCATCAACAAGTCAGAGGGAAAGGGTCGGTGAAGAGGCTGGTCCATGCCCTTGTGTGGGCAGGGCCGCGGGGAATGATGGTGAAGGGCTGTTCTTGCATCTGAGGGTGACTGGGGGAGCCACCAGACAGGAACGACACTGGGAGGATCCTGGGGTTTGGGACAAAAGCTAAGCACGACACAGTTATGAAGCAAGCATACAATGTCCCTTCCAGTCATGCAGGCAGCTTGCAAGATGCCCTTTAGGGAAAAGAATTCTAAAGAATTAAATGAAAAGTTGTTACCATTCCTTGGGCGTGCCAAGTGCTCATGATAAATCTTTTTGCCGAAGAAAAAAAAGCAAGGCTAAATCAAACTACAGAGCTTGTCAAGCATGAGATTTACAGAAATCTCACTGGGTTATGGGTTCATTTCTTAAACAGTTGAATTATAGCAGCTTTTGGGCATCAATATAGGAAGCGTGCTGACCCTCTCAGTGCTCTGGGGAATTAGGGAATGAGCAGCAATGGAGAGATCGCGCTGGTTATCGTCTTAATGTGTATTTCAAAGTCACTTCCGAAAAAGAAGACAAGATAGTAGTTGAGTACTCCAGCCACAGACATGAGGAACAGGAACAAAATGATGCGCTTTCCAAACAGGTAACCAGGAGTGCTGAGAAGACAGAAATGGGGGAAAGCAATTTCTTATTGTGCATCATCTCACATGAGAACCCTCAGACTTCGGACTCTATTGTTGACACCAGCTGAAAGACCTCAGGGGCTGAGAGAGTGGGGAAAAATTTCTTTTCTGTCTTTCATTCCCAGGCAGTTGAGAGGACTTAAATGTAATTTTCAGGATCAATTTGGATCTGGATTTGGCCTTCTGTTTCAGTGTAGGCTGCTGATTACAAAAGTGTCTGTTTGGAGGTACTTGAATGTGCTCATATCCATTACAGGCTGTGGGACAACTCTGTTTCACATGTGTGTAATTTGCTTTATTTATAATAAAATATAAATATTAATATGAAAAGGCAATCTTGCGCAAATAGTGGCACCAACATGCAAACCTGTGTTTCCAGAGGGTCCTGTGAGCAGGAGCTGCAGGCCCCTGACCCCAGTGCTGCTGCACATCCAACATCTCCCACAGCTACCCCCATTCATCCAAAAGAGAGGGACTTTCCTGCACTACCCAATGCCAGCAGCTCTTGCAGGCAGCCCCAGAAGCCAGTGGCTCTGCCTGCAGAAGTGCAGCATCCAGCTGTGCTGCTATCACATTCTGGATTTTTTAAAGAGGCTCTGCAAGTCCTTACCTCTGAGTTCTCTCCCCGAGGTAGCCCACAAAGTACTTCTGCCTCACAAACAGGTACATCAGGCCAGCAAAGGCAGCAGGAGCTGGGCAAAGGACAAAACAAGGCATTAACAACACCAGCCCAGTTCTCACTGTACACACTGTCCCCATTTCTGCCTGGGCTGGAATGGAAATGGGAATTTGCAGTCTTGGGTTATAGGACAAGCACTGGAACTGGGATAGAGACCTCTGCATGGGAAAAGCATGTGCCTTTCCTTCACTCCAGCTTTTCTGAAAACTTTGTGGGTGTAATCCTGCACACAGCTGTGCCCACTGCAGAGCACACACTCACCACCATCCTTCCAGTACCTAAAGGGAGCCTACAAGAAAGCTAGAGAGGGACTTTTCACAAGGACATGAACTCACAGGAAAAGGGGAAATGGCTTTAACCTGAAAGAAAGCAGGTTTAGATTATATAAAAGGAAAAAGTTCTTCACTATGAGAGTGATGAGGCACTGGCACAGGTTTCCCAGAGAAGTTGGGGATGCCCCATCCCTGGAAGTGTTCAAGGCCAGGCTGGAAGAAGCTTTGAACTACCTGGTCTAGTGGAAGGTGATCCTGCCCGGGGCAAGGGAGCTGTAAAAAGATGATCTTTGAGATCTTTTCCAACCCTAACCATTCTATGATTTTGTGAAACCCAGTGTGGGCTGCACCAGGCTCAGGAAAGAGAGCCCCAACTCAGGCACGGTTCTCACCAGAAACAGAAGGCTGTTGGTAGATGTACTTCACCAGGAGCAGGTGGAGGATATATTATCGTCCAATGCTAACTTTTGAGCATTAAAAAGGGTCTTTCCCCCATAATTCTAGCCTTTCTCACTCCCCTTCTTCTCCTGGTTAAGAAACTCGGGTTTTTTTCCAGAAAGAATACACATGTACTCCAGGTAAGCACTCATCTCCATGTTAGATAAACTCACATTGCATTGGAGGGGATAACAATTAGAAATGCAGGTCAATAGTCCCACATAGCCCTCAGCACAGGGGAGAGGTGGCAGGTCTGGCAATTTAATAAATTGAGCTCATTTTCTGTCCCTAGATGGAATAATGTGGCAATAATCCAGCAACCAAGTACTAAACCCTCCACCCAAAACAAAGGGAACTCATCCATAATGCCAGTATGGGAAATCTCCCTGGCCTGGACTGCCTTGAATTAAGTCTGGGAACACATCTGTTGACATAAGCCAAGCCATGCCATGAGTGTGCTGCTACTCCAGCAGCATGCTTAGCCCCAGGACAGGGGGGTAAGAGAGGCTCCCCTGCTGCAGGAGGCTTGATCCCTGAAAGTGTAACTTCCACAGTGCTCACCATCCTCTGCTGAATGTGGTGCCAGGCTGAAGGGGGAAAAGAAAACAAACAAAGAAACAAACGAGTGTTACCTTGGCTGCAGAGAAGGCCAGCACACCAAAGCACAGCGAGGAACGTAGGGTATGCATGTCCACAGTTCTGGCTGGAATGGAATTTACAAGAGAGAAATCAGAGCACAGGCAAATAGAAAAAAAATCAGTATGTTTCACCAGAAGAGACTGGTGGCAGGTGAATTTGGGCTGCACTAGGGCCCTTGAGAGCAGGCTGTTACCACAGAGCAGTGGGAGGCCCCTGACTGCCAAGGGCTGGGCTCCTCACCCAGGTCTGCTTCCCTGTTTCCTCACTCAGATAATGGATGTCTTTGTGCTGCCTGATGAGGAAAACAAACCATCCTGCGCCTGCCTGGCACCTGTGAAAGCCACTTTCTCCCTAACCTGTTTGATCATGATAGATGCTGTGAACTTTACTGGTTTGAAGTCCTTTTAACTGAGTCATATTAATAAAGCTATTGGAAGAAACCAGCAAATGTAGAATTGCATTACAACTAAGAGTGTCTCACAGAGTTAACATGTGTCTTTGCAGGGAAACAGGAATGGTGTCCAGCTGCCTTCTTCAGCTGTGAATGCTTTTGGAGGGGGAGAAGTGAAGCAATTGAGAGTGATTCCATGTGGCAAAGGAGCGGAGAAGTGGAGAGCTGTGTGCCAAGGGAGGTGCCAGAGACCAAGGGATTTGTGTCAGCTCTGCCACCTACCTGTTCCTCAGCAGGCTGATGTCTCTGCTGGCCCTTTCCTTTTGAGCCCTTGACACCCTGGCTGTGTCAGGGGAGAGTGAACTGGTTCCCAAATGAAGGGACACAATACTTGTGATGGCTGCAAAACCTATATACATGCAGCACCATAGTGGCAACAAGGGTGCTGGATTCAGCCAGCAAATATATCCAAAAACCTCATGTCTGAACACTGAGCACAGCTAGGGATTAAGTACAAAGCCCTCATCTGAGGCAATGTGGAATCCACCCCTGGCCCCCAAAAGGGTTTGGATTTAATTTTAATGCAGAGCACGATGAACCCCACTCTGCCCACACCAACTCCTCAGTTTTTGTCTACTCACTTGGCAGTGTAGACACGGTCGAAGGAGGAGGATCCCTGCCGCTGCAACACCTTCCCATTGCAGTGTCTGCTTTCATGCTCCACTTTGTTTGCAAAAAAAGCTGTTAAAAAACCACAGAGTATTCAGTCTGAGATGTCACCTGAAGATATTGCAGAAGCTGGGCATTGTGGGCTCAGCTCTGTTCCCATGGACAGACGGCAGGAGAAGACACAGGTGCATGAGGGTGCAGGACGTGGCCAGTGTGCTCACTCTGTCACCCAGGTTTAACCAAACCCTCCATGCATCCCCACATGTCTGTATGTGACGGGTAACAGGCTCTCACCTCCAATCCCTCCCTCATCCCAACTTTGCACTTTGGGCAGTCTCTGCATCTCTGCTGCAGAAGCACTGCCCTGACCCGGTTCTTTGAGCTCCCAGTGGGAAAAGAGCTTTCCAGTCAGAGCTGCCAATCCCAAATCTTGCTCTCCAACAGAATAGGGAGACAAGGGAGTCTATTCTCTTTTAGTGAAACCCATTTGCCAAACCAAGGACATCCTGCAGGGCTGGTTCTTTTCCCAGAAAGGCCCAAAGAAAGCCTGGTCTTAATGGCTGATTTCTATGTATCCTCCTTTTAAGCAACAGACTTGTGTCAGAATGTTAGCTGCTGCAAAAATGCAGCACCTCAAGATAATGCATCATGCTCTTGACAAACACATTTTATCTGATGACACTAAACCAGAGACCATCAATCATACATCTAAGTACACCAGAGAGAGCTCTGGCAGGCTACAAGCTGCAAGCTTTCTGCTGTCGTGCACCCCATTTCAAGTGCTTCCAAATCACTCTATGGCTTGGAATATTAACCTAATATATACACATGAAAGATAGCCCATCAGGAAATACATTATTATAGCAATAAAAAATTAGCTAGATAAGCTGCAGGATTTCATCCCTGCAATCTGAAGAGTTGCCTCTTTTTTCCCCCTTCATTGATGCTGTAAATAGGTCCTTTGTACTTCCACTGTCTTTAACAAAAATGACTGGGTTTTTCAGTTCCCAGTGTTGTGGGATCCCCTAGGTACATACAGCCCTTCTGCAGAAAAACCCACAGTGCTTTAAGCCAGCACCCCTACTCTGAGCCGGGCTGCAGATCCTCCCACAGCCACCAGCACAGTGCACTGGCTCCTGGGGGACCCAGACCAGACATCATCCGGTGGCACAGAGTTCCCAACATCTCCATCTGCACACCAGCACAGCCTCTGGCAAGAGGTTACCCTGCCTACAGCCACTAAGAGGACCTAATTGAAGAGGACAGAGTTGATCAGCACTTTTTTGTCCAGTGCTGAGCTGCAGCGACCCCATGGACTCACTGGTAGCACACCTCTTCCCTTTCTTTTATCATGCTTGAAAGTCTCTAGAAAATACCACAGACTTGGCTTTCTTTTTTCTGAGAAAGCCAAGTAAGCTATTTATCTCTCTCTCCACTGCTGCAGGTCCTGCCACTTCCCAAATATCAGCTTGCTGCTGCAGAGAAGTTCCACTATGCTGGGACGCAAGAGGGTGCTTTCACAAGCCATCATGAGGGGAGGGAGCAGAGCAAGGCTGGAGTGGAGAGGTTTAATTCACCTCAGTTGTTCCAGGAGATAATTCCCTGAGGTTCCAAGGTTCCACAGACTGCCCAGAGGCTGAACAGTGGCAGTCCCACTCTGATCCAGGTAATGTGCAAAAGTTCAGTATAAGCCTGGTTGTTTCACAAGTCCATGCAAACAGAAACTGGGAGCTGATGATCCCATATAGCCAGTGCTTGCAAACATGCCCCTTATTTCTCTCCACTTTGCTTTCTCTGTCCTGATCTGCTCAGCAGTGACCGCTAATTTGCCCTGAAAGATGCTGGATTGCAACATATCTCTGGTAAAAGAGCAAAACTTTAGGCTGCATGCGTCACTCAGTGGTATGCGGCCACCTGAGTAATTCCGTAGGATGTGGAAATTCCGTCATGAACAAGATGACAGTAAATGGACACCAGACTGGGGCAGCACCACAGCCCACCTCCATCTTCAGGAACAGCAGCATTCAACCTGTTTTCTAGTCCTGCACCCTTTGCAGAGAAGTATTTAATTACAAATTTACATGGTACTGACTTCATGCACTCAGAGACAGTCAAGCAGAGGCCCAAGTGCTTTGCTGAATGACAGCCACAGCAAGAGTTCAACATTCCTGATACCCCTTGACAAACATTTCTACTGCTTTTATAATTGCAATGTGAAGCATAATTCACTGCAAGACTACATATCAGGTCTGGTCTTTCTAGAAAGAAAGCTTGGGAAGAGGAAACTGGATGACGCAAAGCTTGAAATCCTGGTTTAGGGCTGTCTGCCTCACGTGCTTGGCAGACTCTGCCAAGCATCCTACTTCCTCTTTTTAGTAGTTGGGTCCATAATCTCACAGACAGATAAAAGCACATGGATGGAAGTCTGACATGTCTGAGTGAGAGAAAAAACCCTGTCTATAAAGTCATATGATTACATAGCAAGAAATGTATATTTGTCACATTTTCTTAATTATGGTGTGTGCTCTGGTCTTAATGTGCCATATTCTGGTGATGTCACACATTGTTCATTTTCCAGAGAATAGCATTGGGTTAAATGATGTGGCATTTACTGCCTATGTTGAAACTAAAGCAGTCTGCATCTACTTTTTTTTTTTTTCCTTGGCAGCTAGGATCCCACTACTTCCCCCTCTCTGCAGCAGCCCAAGAATAGAATAATAGTTCATTTCCTAGGACTTTGTGTTCAGTGGGAATCTCCTATTTGTAATAAGAAGCCTTCACTACAGATTTCTGGAATTTTCACCAGCTGCCCAGCCCACTGCTGAATCTCTGAACCTGGGCAAACATAGTGTAGCTGAGGCAAAACTCAATCCTTTCTTTAAATTCTGGGCAGAATTTCCTGCTAAAAAAAGTATTTGTAAGAGAGGACGAAGAAGTTAAAATCAAATTTGCACAGGAGAGATACTTGTTTTATTTAAAAAACCTTGAAGACTATACAAGGAACTATACAACGTCTGAATAAGAGCTGGAGAAGGAAACTTCAACATCTCAGGAAATGTACAGTATTCTTGGGACCACAGTTAATTGAGATTAGTTATACTGCAGGACTTGGAGATGCAGGAAAGCAGGAGAGCTGCCTGCCCACAAATAGCCCACACAGATTCCTCCAATTCTGTTCCCTTCACCCAGCTCCCCTTGCCACCCCCCAGGGACTCCATCCCTGCCCATGGCAGCAGGGCTCAGCTTGAGAGCAGCTCTGCCTGACCATAGCAGGGACCCAGGTCAGAAAAGTCATCAAATCAAAATTGATATTGCCACAGGGTATCCTAGCATATTAGTCCTTACATTAGCTGAAAACTCACTCCAGAATGTCAGAGAGTAAGATGTGACTGCCAGGATACTGCCACAGTGTCATACAAAATTCCATGCCTAGAAGGCCGTTTCTAAAGCCAAAGCCATGCCTAAGCATGCATGCACTTATAACTAAATATTACCAATCCAAAGATCATTTCAGCATACATCATCCTGAACTTTCCTCAGCTCTCTTCTATCCCTTAAAAACAAGTTCATTTTTGTCTTACCGTTCTGGATGACACTGATCAGGGTGACGATGACAAGCAGGACAATGCTTCCCAGGGTCTCCTGGTCCATTTCGTGACAGGGCTCTCGGGGTGGATGGTGCAGCCTCGGTGGCAGCTCAGTGGTATGAGCACAGAACGAGGAAGTGAAGGTCTTATCTTGAATCATGAAACACTTCCTATGGTTTCACAGGAGAGTGGCAGCACCCTCTGCTCTGGTGCCTGTCAGACCACCAACCGCAGGCTCACTCACTCACTTGTACAGATGAAGCTCAGGGAAAAAAGAGATTACACGTCTGTGATCTAAGATGATACATAATGTGGAAAGATACCTATTGCCCTTCCTACACACAAGCAAACCTGGATATCTAAAGCATTTCTGAGCATTTGGCTGGCTGTGTGGAACAGCAGAAGGCTGGAAGAAACCAGTCAGGCCACCACGGCATTGACAGCAAGTGCCTGGACATTCCACAAGCAGCTGGGAGGAGACATAATGTGGACAAGTCTCAGCAATGGTGCTGCTCTCGTACAGATGCTCTTCCTGGTCACAGCTCCATCAGTCTCACCAGTGAGGAGACCCCAAGCCTGCACATCACAAGCCAGAGCTCCTGAAACCCCTGGCATTTTGGAATGGGCAGTACAGCAGTGCCGTGAGCATTGCTGCGGAGCACAGAAATATGTCTTTTGTTACCAGGCATGGATCCTGCCCCCTATGAATTAATTACTCCTTGGAAGACAGTGACAGCTACAAGCATTCAGAATTCACAGTTGTGCCCCAATTTTAGTGCTTGAAGCCCAGTATAGCTGAGCACAATTGCTGCAGCGTGTTCACAGCTCGGATCCAACCCCTCGATGAAGCTGGCACAGAAGCACAGGCTGCAGTGCTGGACAGAGGGGTGGGCTGACCTTGGCTGAACATCAGGTGCCCACCCAAGCCACTCTATATCTTCCCTCCTCAGCTGGACGAGAAAATGCAACAAAAGGCTAAGGGGTTGAGATAAGGGCAGGGAGAGATCACTCACCAGTTACTGTCACAGGCAAATCAGACCTCACTCTGCCAGGCAGGAGTTCCAGCAGGAGCCAAACTGTATAACCTATCTTTTTCAATGGGGACACATTTACTTACAATGGTGTTTTTGCCCAGTCTCTCTATCATGTAAATTTTTATCATCCATAGTCTTACATATGGAAAACACTCATATACTTTGGGTATAAACAAATACACAGAAATGAACTGGCAGAGGTAGGTGATTAACTGTGAGCTGTGACATAGTTATCAGCATAGGAAAAGGCTGTCTTTCTGGGATGCCTCCCCTACAGTCCATACAGATACAGCTGTGTGAAAAGCAAGGCCATAAAGAATATCAAGGTTTAGATTCGGCCTGTGATTTTTTCTTCAGATCTTTAACTTTTGCCAGATTTGCTTTAGGAAAAAGCCCAAATCCAAGAACATAAAGAGGATGACAACAGCTCTTTGTGAATGCTTTTATTCAGGCTAAAGCTCTCTTTTCCCCAGAATACAATCTTTTCCTACTTGAACAACAATGTTTATGTTTTGCGGTCTATGGAGCACAGGATTGTAGCCAGTATTAAGAGATGGTATTTAATGTTAAGCATCTATTAGTGCTCTGAGAAGAAGAACCCATCACCTAAAAGCCATGATGGAATGAAGTCAAAAGAAGAATATTGCCTAAGCAGAGATCAGTGTTATGACTGTAAAGAGAGGAGCTGTGCATGGGCATGGGCAAGCAGGGGGAGCTGCTGACAGGAGAGGGCAAAGGGGACAGAACAGGTTCTCAGGGCATCTGTGGTAGGAGGATTCCCACTCGTCCTCCTGCAGCAGGCATTCTCCTTCTGCTACCTGTTTTGTGCTGGTGCAAATCTAGCAGGCAGCCTGCAGCTTGCTTTTGATTTCCAAGTGGCAGTACAAGCACATGAGCCTGCTCCACCTTGCCAAGGAAACACACACACTTCCCTGCTATCAAAGGCTTCCCAGAGGTGACTTCTACTCAGCAGAACTCTTGTATAAAAGAGGGTAGGAACCAGGCTGCTGAGGTGTGAAGCTGCCATAATGCAAGAAACCCCACAAGACACCAGGAATTTGTGCCAGAAGGCTTTCCAGCTGGCTGACCCCGGCTCCCATCCTGGTGCGCTGGCCACATGGTGAGAGATGAGCTGCTGATGCCTTTGCTTTCTCCTTGTCCTGCTCTTTGTTTTGCAGCTCTTTGCTTTGCTGCTGTTCAGTGCCTCTCAGCACAGACTCATCCCCACTTTGCTCTTCTGCTCTGCCCTTCTGATTTCCCCCTGTCCCCTGGAACTGCTTTGGCATTTTGGCACTTGACATCCCCAGAGCTTTTCTGGAAACCCAGCCTGTTCCCTCCTCCCACCCAGGTTTGCTCCAAAGCCCTCCCACATGTATGTGTGGAGGAAAGCAGGGTTTCACACTCCTCCCTGCAGTAAAAAAAACAACCATGACATCAACTCCAGGGCTTGTTAAAATGATTTCTTGGTGTGCAAGGAAAAAAAAGCTTTGCCAGCAAGAACCACTTTGGTATGGCTGCCTTAAGAAAGGAGCTGCAGGGTTTTGTTTGGTTTGATTTTTGTTGTTTGTTTTGTTTTTTAAGTCAGCATCACTCTGAGGGCTCTGCTTGAGGAAAAACAAGGAAATCAAGACGGTATGTGAGACATTGAAGAATAATTCCCTTTACCATGGCAAGGCAACACTGTTGTGTAGCCAGACTGAGCAGAAACCTCTTGTGGGAAGGAGTATTACCTTCCATACTCCTTGGCACTGTAATAGCTGAAGGGTAGGAGATTCTGGCAATATTTTTGCAATTTGGGGAATTGCCTTGGCAAGGGAGAGCTAAAATTACTCTGCAGCAGCTTTTTCCATATCTACACACTAAATTGTTCCCTCTCCCTGAGACCTAAACACACAGTATCAGTGTCTGGATAAGACAAAGGTGGTATCACTGGAAAATCCCATTCACCTGGGAGAAACAGCAGTGCAAAACACCTCTATCATATCTCACTTGGCTGTTTGAATAAGGGATTCTCCCGAGTAGACAAAAAAAACCCGAAAAGGGGGTATGAGGGGAGGGATACACACCTTGGGGAACTGTGCCTGCACCTTCTGTAACCTCCAGCTGTGGTCAGACTTCTTCAGGCACAGGCAATTCAGCACTTCAGCAGCTGCTGTCAGATCCCAGCCCTTTTGCTTGCTGCATGGCTCTTTGACATCCACATCACCCTGTCCAAGGAAGATAACCTTGACTCAGTGAGCCATGAAGCTCACAAAAATGTGCAAAGCCAGCAAGCTTTTCCAGTTGCACTGCGAGGCTTCCTGCACATTAATCTCCTCCCCTGGAATCTTGAACAGCCAGTCAAAATAATCCCTTTGTAGAATTGCTTTCATGGTGAAGAGGAAAGGAGTGGGAATGCAGATCTATAAATACCTTTGGGGATGCTCATCTCTCCTCTCATGCACTCATATCAGAGCTCAGGAGAAAGGAGTCCAATGAAAGTGTGCCTCTTGATAAAATAAAGGCTGCTCGTGTGAAGCTCCCACATATGAAAGCCAGGTGACACCCAGCTGTCATGCTTTGTCACAAATGCAAGGGGACACAAGCCTCGTGGACTGTCTGGTTAATACGAGCAGTGTGCTCTGCAAAGGTAAAGCGCCGCAGCCTCATCAGCTGTAGTGCACAGGCACACGTGTGGGTGACTCCCTGCCTGCCTCAGCATCCCATCCTCGCTGAACCTGACAAAACCCCAGCAGAGAGCATGAACAGAGCTGCAACTGTGAAGTGCAGCACAAAGAAAAGGGCAATGCTGCAGGTTTGAAAATGCTGCCTTCATTCTGCACAGCCAAGAGAATGAGCCGACAGAGCACCGCCTCAAAAACCCCTCCTTCTCCACATTTCACAGGCTTCCTCCTTTCACTCACTGTTTTCATATTCCTTTGGTACAAATTCAGCTCAAAATAGAGCTGGAAGACAGAAGCAGTAGTCCCTTCAGGTCCCTTGGCACAGGCTCCCCCTCCTCACCCTCTTTGTCCCATTGTCACAGCTCAACCCCAGCCACAACTTAGCCCCACACAGCCACTTGCTCACTCCCCACCAGTGAGATGGGGGAGAGAATCAGGAGGATAAAAGTGAGGAAAGGGTTAGGAAATTCCACACATGCAGGCAAACAAAAACAATAAATGCATTCACCGCTTCCCACAGGCAGGCAAGTGTTCAGCCATTTCCAGGAAAGCCAGGTTCCATCACACATAATGGTTACTGTGGGAGGCAATGCCATCACTCCAAATGTTCTCTCCTTTCTCCTTCTTTCCACAGCTTTATATGCAGAGCATGGTGCCATATGTTATGGGGTAATCCTTGGATCTGCTGGGGTCAGATGTCCCCGCTCTGTCCCCTCTCAACTCACTGGTAGGGTGATGTGAGACGCAGAAAAGGCCTAGACTTTGCATAAGTCCTGCTCAGCAGTGACAAAAACAACCCTTTGTTATCAGCAGTGCTTCCAGCACCAGTCCAAACCAGAGCTACATGCCAGAAGCTAGGAAGAAAATTAACTCTACCCAGAGTATTTCAGATCTGGCCTCACCAGAGCTGAGCAAAGAAGCAGAATCGCTTTTCTTGACCTGCTGGCAATGCTTTGTTTAATGTGACCCAGAGTACCACTCACCTTCTTGACCACAAAGGCCCACCACTGGCTCATGTTCAACCTGCTGTCCACCAGGACAACCAAATTCCTTTCTGCCAGGTTGAATTCTAGATGGCACCATGATGGGTTTTTTTGTCTACAGCTGCAGGACTTTGCACTTCTCCTTGCTGAACTTCATGAGGTACCCATCAGCCCATTTCTCCAACCTGTCAAGGTCCCTCTGGATAGCAGCATCACCTTCTGCTCTGTCTGCCACTCCTGTGGGTCTGGTGCTGTCTGCAAACTTGCTGAGGCTAAACTGTGGCCCATCATCCAGATCACTAATGGAATGTTGTGCAATATTGATCCCTGATGGCATCCAACTACACCATGCCACCACACTGTGGACACAACAGTTTGGCCACTTTTCAGTCCACCTCACTGTCTGCTTATCAAACCCACACATCAACAGCTTCTCTGCAAGGATCTCATGGGAGGCAGTGCCAAAGGCCTCACTGAAGTCCAGGCAGACAATACCCCTGCCCTCCTCTCCTCTACCAGGCCAACCACTTCACCATGGGGGTTTACCAAACTGTCTAACACGACTTCCCCTTGTTCGAGCCATACTCACCAACTGCTGGCACTTCCACTGTCTTTGATGGGCCTGAAGGTGGTTTCCAGGATTAGCTCATCCATCACCTTCCCAGGCACTGAGGTGAAGCTGACCCCAGTCAGTAGTTCCCCCAGTCATCCTTCCTGCCCTTCTGGAAGGTGGGGGTGATGTTGCTTTATTCCCATCCTTGGGCACTTCCCCTCATTGCCATGACTGATCAAAGCTGATGGAAACTGCAATGGATCTACCATCTGTCTCAGCACCTGTGGGTATATCCCACCAGGGCCAATGGATTTATGCACAGGCAGATTGCTTAAGTATTCCCAGACTTGGCCCTCATCCATCTAGGGTATATCTTCCTTGCTGATTTGTTTTTTGTAACTCATGTTTGCTGCCATTATCACCTTATCATCTTTTAGGGGGTTGCAATTTGATTAATAATTAGTTTCAATTAATTTCATAGACTGTTTAGAGCTGAGGTGAGGCTGTCTGGGCAGCAAATTCACAGGTCTTTCTCTCCACTCTGCTTTGAGAAGACTCTCATCCTGTCTCATTTCTGTTCCTGCTTTCCATTAGCTCTTGCAAATAATTATCAGAGGACTATGAATCAAAAGTCACTGTGGAGTTAATTTTGTCTTCTGTTCTTCAAGTTGTGAAATATGCATATTTTATGATTGGCTTTTAGCAAATATTAAAATGAATATTATATGTGTTGTGTAAGAAAGGTATGTTGTATTAATTTTCTTAAGTAGTGTGTTAAATATAGTTTTAACACAATGTTTAACATAAAGTTTTAACATAATAACATAATGTTAAAATAGAAACTATACTATGTAAGATACTTTTTTTTAAAGGAAAGGACTCACAGCGAGATAGCAGCCACAGTACACCTAAATCTTTCAGAGGAAACAAATTTATTGCTCTCTTATCGAATTCTTCCCACCTCGCTCAGCCCTGAAGATGCCATTAGGATTAAGAGGAAGAAGTTGACACTGACCACACAGAATCCTTTGAATGGAATTTACGTGTCATGTATGGGGTGCATGAACATGCAACAGGCTGTTGCTTTTAAGGGTTAATCCTCTATTAATGGATGTCCTTTTTCGGGCTTATGCTGCCCAGAAAAGGTACCCAGACATCCATAACTCTTTGTTTTTATTGTCTCATATTGCCTTAATCCAAATTGTCCAAATTATTATTACCCTAATTATATTGTTATTTTTATAACCATTTTATTATTATTAAACTTTAAAAATTTTAAAAACAAGTGATTGGCGTTTTTCACAAAGTCTGTGGTCACAACTACTCCTTTTGGCACTGTAATTATCAGAACGAAAAATGTTGGATCCCTTGATCACCTTAATAAGAGGGCAATGCTAATTTTTGCCTTCCTCATCCCAGGCACATGGTGTCAGAGCTTCCTCTTACAAGCTGAGCTGTCTCGGGGAGCAGCCTTCAGGCTCCCATTGGCAACCGTCCCACCAAGAGGCAGAACTTCAACCACTACATTTTTCTGCTTGTCCACTCTTCCCCAGTCTCCCAGGAAAACAAAGGGGAAAGGCCACGGAGAAAACAAAACAGGGAAGAAAAGGAAGGGCCGTTTTTCAGATTTAAAAACCACTCGGGCCCCACGGCCGGTGATTAAAGCCCAGCCCAGGCCGCCCCCGAAGGAGCGGGAACGGGAAGGACACAAAGGAGCGCAGAGCCCGCCCCGGCCGCCGCGGGACCCAGGCGTGGCTCGGCGGTATGTCGTCGCAGCGCGTCTCTGTGGCGCAATCGGTTAGCGCGTTCGGCTGTTAACCGAAAGGTTGGTGGTTCGAGCCCACCCAGGGACGAAGCGCCGTTCTTTTGTGGCTCACAGTGAGTTTTTCCTTCCCTCCCGCAAGAGGCGGCGGCTGTAACCGGCCCGCGCCGCCTTTATAGCGGCGGGAACTGCCCGACACCCGTTTTTGGCTCCGGGGCCTCGCTTCTCATGCTCGGCCAGGAGGAGTTCCGCCCGCACCGTGTGCTCACAGCAGGGTTGCGGGTGCTTCGTTCCATTGGTCAAGAGGGACTGCAGGACCACACCACCCCAGCGGGAGTTTCCGTAGTGTAGTGGTTATCACGTTCGCCTAACACGCGAAAGGTCCCCGGTTCGAAACCGGGCGGAAACACCAAGTTTTTTTTCCCCTTCCCGGGTCACCGCGGATGTGTTTCCTCGTTTCCTCTTTAGCCGCGGGCCGCATCCCCCGCCCCGCCGTGGGAGAGGGCGAGCGGCCTCCTGGGCTGCCGGGGGCTGGCAGGGGCAGGGCTGGGGGCTGTGCTGAAGCTCTGCTTCAATCCCATGCCCGAGCTCCTCCGCTAACGTGTTTTTTCCGGAAAGATCGCCCAGAGGAGGGGAAAGGAGCTTCAGCTGAAACGGTCTGAACATCATCAGAAAACTTGGGACAAAAACTACAACCACTCACCGTGGGCATTACAGAAGGCCCATCAGCTATTAACTTACATAAAAAGAGTAATACAGATCCACGTCGGGGGAGAAGCATCTTTTGAGGGTTTCTCCAGCCTCTTCCTCAAAAACATAGCTGGAGACACCCAGCCCCTTCTTCCCTACACTCCTTTCCCAGCATTTCCTCTCCTTTGTGAGCCCTGTGGCTCCACTGTGTTCTCTTGGGCTGTGCAGCTTCAGCATCTGCCTCGCAAACAACCACAGTGTGTTTGTGCATAGCAGTGTAAAACTAAAAATGCTGCAAATTCCATCAGCCTTCTTATCCCACTAAACTTCTCTTCTCTCTTGCTCTGCCTGCACCCTGTCTTAGATCAATACTTAGATTGGAATTTTCCTCCACTCCGAGACCGAATCCTGGTGGACTTCAAAGAACAGCACACACTTTTGAGTGTAAGCTGCTCAAAGGCAATGTGTTTTGCTCTGGGCACGAAGGGGCTCACATCAAGAGCAGCTGTTTAGTTTTGCGAAAGGAACACAGACAACACACCATGGCTCTCACAGATATGTTGTCAGAAAGGGAGTAATTATTTAAAGCAGAAAACCAGTGATGGAAGAATAAATGGCAATACCCAGCCATGAAAAACATCAAGATCAAATCATATTTGTAGTCGGTACCACAATAGATTTCTTGAACAGTGCTCTAGCAGGTATATGGCTAGAAATCCATCCAGGCAGCTCCTATGCAGATGTGTTGGTTTATTGTAGGCAAGATGCTAGAGGGCAGCCCTGTTTTTCACCCTTTACTGTGTTAGAAGAAGTGTTTGAATGTATCATCAAGTAGTCAGATCTGAATCACAGCACCTGTTCTGCAGAGCTGATTCCACACTCTGAGTGCCACGATTATGCCTTTCCCAAAGCAGAAGACACAGACTAACAAGGCTCTGCAGAGGGCTCTGGACAGGCTGGGTTGATGAGCCAAGGCCAATTGTATGAGGTTCAACAACACCAAGCACTTGGTCCTGCCCTTGGGTCACAACCCCGGGTGGTGCTGGAGGCACTGAGGGCAGTGGCTGGAAAGCTGCCCAGTGGAAAAGGAAATGGGAATGCTGGCAATGCCATCCTGGCCAGGGTCAGCAGTAGTGTGGCCAGCAGGAGCAGGGCAGGGATTGTGCCCCTGTACTCAGCACTGGTGAGGCCACACCTAAAGTTCTGTGCTCAGTTCTGGGCCCCTCACTACAAGAAGGACATTGAGGGGCTGCAGTGTGTCCAGAGAAGGGCAACGGAGCTGGGAAAGGATCTGGAGTGCAAGACTGATGAGGAGCTGCTAATGGTGTTTAGCCCGAAGAAAAGGAGGCTCAGGGGGGACCTTACTGCTCTCCACAACTACTTGAAAAGAGAGCGTAGCCAGGTGGGGGCAGGTCTTTTGTCGTAGGTAATGAGACAGGATGAGAGGAAATGGTTTCAAGTTGTGCCATGGGAGGTTAGATTGGATGTTAGGAAAAATCTCCTCTCTGAAAGGATGGTTAGGAATTGGAAGAGACTGCCCAGGGAAGTGGTGAAGTTATCATGGTTGCAAGTGTTCAAAAAATGTAGATGTGGATTTAGGGGCATGGTTTAGTGGTGAAGGTGGCAGTGCTCAAAGCCCTTAGACTTTGGGAAATCTATCCTGGAACACTAATAAAACCTCCATAATACAGGGGCCAGTTTCTGATCACTACCTGTACTTCCAATTGACAAAAGATGACTACGATACTTTGTATTCTCTTCATGGCAAATTAAGAGCTGCATTTAAAAACTACTCTTAATATAAAACACCCAGTAACATTTAAAATTCCAAACAATTTCTTTAGTCATGGGTTTTTCATTCAAACCCAGCTGAATTCTCACTTGCACAGGATCAGAGGCAGTAAAACATTTATGGAAACAAGCAAATCTGCACTGCGTCATCTTTAGTTTTCTGTTTCAGAGAAAAAGGCAGCCAGAAACATGCAGCACCAACAGATTTATTTTCATACCTTCTTTAATCTCAAGTGCTATTTGTTTGCCCTTGGAGCTTCTATATATACCTGTACCCACACTGAATCCCACGCAGCTGCAGACCAAACACTCCCAGCTTCAGTTTGTCGAGGGGGTGCCAGTGGTGACCAGAGGTTCTTGCTTCTGTCTAGGTGTACGTGCACAGCAGGTGTGCTCCTACACCCTCCCTCCTCTGCCTTGAACCTCATTATAAACCTCTCCACCAGGATCTCCACATCTTCTAGCAGGGCTTCTTCCTCCTGTTTCTCCCCCCTGTGCCTTCTGCATCACCAATGCTGGGCTCACTGCTTTACTCACCCCTGGGTCTGTTTGTGTCCCAAGCCAGTGGTGAAGGAGCTCCCATGTCACAGCTGCAGGTCACTGCAATCCATTCATGGATAAATCAAACTCTCATTTTAATCAGCACTTTTTTTTTTCTTTTTTTTTTTAATTAGGGAATTCATGAATGGGCAAACATTTCACAAGCAGTACACCAGCCCTTAACATTCAGAATCCATTCATTTGTTTTCTATTGTAACATTACCAATTACAGTATTTAAAACAAAGAAGAAGCTCAAGTTCTTCACAATAACTTGAATTTCAAAAATTCATTGCCTAAAGTACCAGTTTGATAACAATGTATCAAATTGCAACAAGTTCAGGGCCAATGATAATTTTTCAAACACTAGTTCAAACAATCCAAAACCATTAGAATCTGTAACCATGCCTTGTAATAGCATTATGTTTAACTGCATCTACTGGAAAAGTAAGACTGAGCATTTAATGTTTTGAGCATGGAATCTGAAACAATGAAAAAATGCAGGACAGTTCTAAATATGCCTGATATAAAGACTTGCTGATAAAATCCTTATTTCCAAGAACAAGAAAAGTGTACAGCTAATCTAACTTGGCATATAATACCCTCAGCTTTGTGGCCATGCATTTAAAAAAAGACTCCAATCTGGCAAAATGAAAGCTATACATATCCAGAAACACCAAGGTGTGAATCCCTCTGCTTACTCACTGCTGTCTTGCCATATTTTTCCATTACTTTCTTCCTACTGACCTTGCCTCTTCTTGGCACCTCACATACAGTCGGGGGTGCACTGCCTGAGTCATGAAAAACTCCAAGTGACAACAGTAATAGGCATTAACTTACAGTTAATTCTAAGAAACCTCTAAGTTCATATCAGAGAATGAAAAATTCCCTACTTACAGAAGGTACTTAAATTCTTTTTTTAAATG